TTCTTACTGTAATAAACCGTATCGGAAATTTTATTATTTAAAGATTTAAAATCTTTAATTTCAAAGAGCTTATCATTTGCCTTAAGAGTAAGTTTCAAACCCTCACTGGTAATGGGTTTGGTAAATGCCACCACAGTTTTATCTTGGCTGCAGCGAAAACCTGCCACCGCCAGCTCTGGTTGTGAGTAACCCAATAACCATCTTTGATAAAACCAAGCCGAACTATCATTGGGATCGGTAAATGCCGCCGTTAAAACCATTTCTAACTCCTCTTTAAGTTTTTCTTCACTCATGGGTCTTTTGGGTTTAGCTTCTCCCTCATAGGGATACAAAACGGGCAATAAGAGACTTCTATGATGCCAAGAAGAATAATTGGAAAAATTTACTTTAATTTTTTCGGTACAAAAATCCAATTCCTCTTGTTTGGCTACTTCAGCCTTCTCCACTACATAACGTCTATAGTCCCAAGTATGAAAATTACGTTCATCCATTTTTAAGTACTTATTGCACAATAACACCTCCCGCTGCCAATTGGCTTGGGGTGCCTTTTCCAACAGCCACATGCGATGGTGCCATATATTATAACTCTTAGGATTAACCAATAAACATTGTTCAGTTAATGATATTTCAGTCTCAAATACTTTTTGTATGGCCTCCTCTTTGTTGTCTTTCTTTTCCACTTCTTCATCCTCCTCCGGCTTTTTCTCTTCCTCCTCCTTTAACTTATTTACCTTAGCTAAAATGCATTCTCTTCTTATATTCCATAAAGTGGACACATCAGGATTTCTTTGCAGTATAGGGGTGGTGTACATTAACATTTCATCATCATATTCCAGATTCTTACGTTTGCTCATGATTTTTGCCATGGCCGCCTTATAGGCTTTCACCTTTAAGGCCTGCTCTTTCTTTTTGCGCTCCCTTTCCTCTTCGGTGGTTCGTACTTTCAAACGTCCATGCATTTTGTTAGATTTTATATGATTTTCTTTTTAAAAACAAAAAATTTATTAAAATTACACTTATCAATATGAAGCGATGACAAATTCAGTTTTTTTTTTCAAACAGCTGCCTGTTTACTGCGGTTGTTTTTGGGTTTTGTGACATTTTTCGCACAGCTGTTTCGTTAGCTTACAGCGGTAGAAATTTTGAGCCTATTTGAAACAGCTGTTAGTGCAGTAGTCAGTGGTTTATTTAAATACCGGCTATGAACAGCTGGGGTTTGTTTACATTTTTTGCTTTGTAAAATGCTTGTGTATTTTTACCCAGCAAACAATTTTGTTGTTAAAAAGGACAAACAAAAAGTATTTTTTTCGTCGTTTTTCTTCAACATTGTTATATTTTCGACTTCTTTTTCAATGTTTATGTTAAAAATATATTGATTCCTTGTTAAAAAATTAAGAAATTCTCGTTGTTACATTTTTATACCCTACACCACTTTAGTGGGGAGGGTATATTGGGTTTGTGCTGATGTTTGTAACATACAAAAATATTCCTATACCCACCTTAAAGTATACCAATCGGCTTAGAATCGTTTTCTGAGTCGATAAAGCTATGTCCGTCCGTCCGTCTGTTTGGTTGGCTGTCCATGTAAACCGTGTGCGCAATTTTCAAGATAATTGGATGAAATTTGGCACACACTCTTTTTTCGGACGAAAAAAAAAAGACGAAGCCTATTGAAAATGGTTAAAATCGGTCCATTATTTCACCTAGCCCCCATACAACAGAACCACCCGAAAAGAGCTTTTGAGCTCATAATTATGTCAAATATACCTGTATATTGATAAAAAGCGGCACAACTAAGTTTTATACAAGTCTTGATGATGTCGCCAAATTTCACAAAGATCGGGACACATTTGACCCTAGCTCCCATATAAAGTCCCCTTCAGAAAATTACTTCAATGCCCAAAATTAACTTATAAACACAAATATCGCGATGAAATTCAGCACAAATAAATATTAAATAAATATTATATAAATATAAATACATTCACAATACTTTATCGGGTTTGGTCCATATATGCCTCTAGCCCCCATATTAAGCCTCTTTCAGAAAATTAGTTTTTCATCCATAAATTTCTCAAATGAATCGGAACAAGGTAATAATCAATATAAATGCTTTATTATGAAAAATAAATCACATTTAATATTCATAACTGGTGTAGGGTATCATATGGTCGGTCACGCCCGACTATACTTTCTTACTTGTTTAATAAAAGAAGTATGTAGATTACTAAGTCTTAGATTTTAAATTGATTTTGTATGTTTGTAACAACAAGTATTTGGATGTTCGAATAACGGCTGTCCGTAAACAAAAGGGTTAGACTTTTTACGATTTTTATCTACATAATCGATTATTCGACATTTTTTCGATAGTCTACTTTTGAACTTTGTTGGGACTATAGACTAGACTATAGACTAGACTATAGACTAGACTATAGACTAGACTATAGACTAGACTATAGACTAGACTAGACTAGACTATAGACTAGACTATAGACTAGACTATAGACTAGACTATAGACTAGACTATAGACTAGACTATAGACTAGACTATAGACTAGACTATAGACTAGACTATAGACTAGACTATAGACTAGATTATAGACTAGACTATAGACTAGACTATAGACTAGACTATAGACTAGACTATAGACTAGACTATAGACTAGACTATAGACTAGACTATAGACTAGACTATAGACTAGACTATAGACTAGACTATAGACTAGACTATAGACTAGACTATAGACTAGACTATAGACTAGACTATAGACTAGACTATAGACTAGACTATAGACTAGACTATAGACTAGACTATAGACTAGACTATAGACTAGACTATAGACTAGACTATAGACTAGACTATAGACTAGACTATAGACTAGACTATAGACTAGACTAGACTAGACTATAGACTAGACTATAGACTAGACTATAGACTAGACTATAGACTAGACTATAGACTAGATTATAGACTAGATATAGACCAGACTATAGACTAGACTATAGACTAGACTATAGACTAGATTAGACTAGACTATAGACTAGACTATAGACTAACTATAGACTAGACTATAGACTAGACTATAGACTAGACTATAGACTAGACTATAGACTAGACTATAGACTAGACTATAGACTAGACTATAGACTAGACTATAGACTAGACTATAGACTAGACTATAGACTAGACTATAGACTAGACTATAGACTAGACTATAGACTAGACTAGACTATACTAGACTAGACTATAGACTAGACTATAGCTAGACTATAGACTAGACTATAGACTAGACTATAGACTAGACTATAGACTAGACTATAGACTAGACTATAGACTAGACTATAGACTAGACTATAGACTAGACTATAGACTAGACTATAGACTAGACTATAGACTAGACTATAGACTAGACTATAGACTAGACTAGACTAGACTATAGACTAGACTATAGACTAGACTATAGACTAGACTAGACTATGACTAGACTAGACTATACTAGACTATAGACTAGACTATAGACTAGACTATAGACTAGACTATAGAGACTAGACTAGACTATAGACTATAGACTAGACTATAGACTAGACTATAGACTAGACTATAGACTAGACTATAGACTAGACTATAGACTAGACTAGACTAGACTATAGACTAGACTATAGACTAACTATAGACTAGACTATAGACTAGACTATAGACTAGACTATAGACTAGACTATAGACTAGACTATAGACTAGACTATAGACTAGACTATAGACTAGACTATAGACTAGACTATATACTAGACTATAGACTAGACCATGGTATAAAGAAAACAAGGTAACTCCGTTCGCTCTTAATGAAAAATTTTTTTACGTAAATAAGATTTTTTGATATTTAGTTTTTGTAAACAAATAAATAAAAACGTTGCCACACAGTTTAAAAGGGAAATTATATTTAGGAAATCAGAATTAAAAAATGTGTAATTTTGTTTACTACAAAAGTCTAACTGTTGTGAATTGCAAATATAAACGATTATAAATATGTTTTAATAAATGTTTTATTATTGTTTTATATTTTTATATAAACTAACACTTTACAAAGAACGAATGAATGTCCATGGACATTATGACACTTTTAAAAAAGAAAAGTTTTAGAAATTTTATTTAGATTTAAAGAAAATCCCGAAAAGAGTTGCTCCTAAATTTGGTGTATGTTGCATTTTAGGGTATTTCGAATACCGACTTCGCTATATTAAGACATTTTTGATAAATGTACTTTTTTATGTCCTTTTGCTCGTAGAAATTGTGACACTTTTAAAATTGTCAACGTCCATGGACCTATGACTTAATTTAGTGTGTCATATCGTCCATGGACATTATGACGTCACCTAATTTCTTTATTTGGTTTTTAAGGGACTTCAGGGCTTCTGAATTGCTAAAAGGTACTGGTTGATTTACTGGTATTCCTAGATCTTGTCGCCTGTGTGCAATGAAAATCGAAAATAGAATCCACTGGCATATTAGATTATTAGACATATAAGATTGATCAGAACATTTTCGCTATTTATTAAACAAAATTATATTCTCTAGAACAAAGACGTCAGCAACTTTCTTCTTTGATGGTATGTTGAAACTCCCATATAATGATGGCTAGTGAGACTGGCCAGCATCTCCCGACACACAAATTTGGAAGCAACAGACTTTGGTAGATAGTATTATTTGATTTATATTTTGTAATCTCACGGATTATTTGTTTTATTTATAATATTTTTTAATTTATGTTTGAAAAAATATTTTTTACAGACATTTGAAAAAGAAATATAAAAGTAAACAAAAAACATAGGTTTTTAAGGTAGATATGGTAGCACGATTTTAAGCAATAAAATAATAATTCGCCCAAACGTCAGAAGTTTAATATGGCTACAAAAAGAGAGAACGGCTATACCTTTATTTTTTCTACTATGGACTAGACTATAGACTAGACTATAGACTAGACTAGACTAGACTATAGACTAGACTAGACTAGACTAGACTAGACTAGACTAGACTAGACTAGACTATAGACTAGACTAGACTATAGACTAGACTAGACTATAGACTAAACTAGACTATAGACTAGACTAGACTAGACTATAGACTAGACTAGACTATAGACTAGACTATAGACTAGACTATAGACTAGACTATAGACTAGACTATAGACTAGACTATAGACTAGACTATAGACTAGACTATAGACTAGACTATAGACTAGACTATAGACTAGACTATAGACTAGACTATAGACTAGACTATAGACTATACTAGGTTATAAAATAGTCATAGTGAAGGGTATAAAAATGTACAATTTCATACAAATTTCAAAACTTGTATATTTATACATATGTATAATTTTTGTCTATAGGATGACCGAAATATATATCCAATATTCGTGGAACAACACCCAAAAAGGTCATACTATATTCATGCTCGATTTCTTTATAAACTAGCGTTGGATTATTAGCATAAGAACAAAGTTTTCGTAATTCTAATAGATTGTATAAAGCCCAAAAACACATTGGCCTTAATACTAAAATCATGCATTAATGCAAATTAATGGAACTGAAATGAGTGGACAAAATTTCCAAACAAACCACTAATTAAAAGAAAAACTGAAAATTATAGAAGCGGAAATGGAAAGGATACTTTATATAATACATACATACGTATGTATAAAATATAACAAAGTCTATAATACTTTAAATTTGAACCCCTTCTAAAATCCTGTCTTACACCCAAGCTATTAATGCAAATCAAGTTTGAATAAATATAAAAAATCCCCCTGTTTTTCACAAATAAAAACAAAAAACGTCACGTATCAAATATTTCCATAGTAACACTCTTTTTTCCTTCAAATTACATTAAATAACAGCAGCTTAAGTGTACTGCTGTTTTCTATTCAAATTATTCTAATTGAATATACAACAAAAAATAACTCCCACCACTGACAGCCGCCCTCACACATATGTATGTTTGCATTTATTATAAATAATATAATCCTTTTACTTCTTTTAAATCACTCATCATAAATAGAATTTTTTCATAAATTGATGCGTAA